GCTTGAATTTGACTTATTGACTAAATTGAATTAAATATTGAACGGTTGAGCTAATCATTAACTCGGCTAAAATTCTCTGTCGTCACACAACTTTCGGATCATATATCCAAAAAGCTAAATTACGAACTTTGAAAATTATTTTCGTTCGTTTTTATTCGGGTGATTTTTCTAGATTATCATTCTTTCATGGCTAGAGTTTGGAGAGCGTAGAATTATTTTTCCGGTAGATTTCGAGTACAATACGAGTGCGATTGGAGTCCAGACGGCTGCCAGTCTTGTGTAATTTTTGTGCACGAGTAGCGATTATTCGCCACCCAAATAAACAGCTTAAAAACAGCATTAAAACGCATCGGACAAAGGAAAAACACATTTTAGACGATTGTAAGTATTAAACTTAATTGGTCTTGAAACGATATTTGGAAAGCTGAAGGAAAAATGTTTGGGGGGGGGGGGGTCTTTGTTGCACGCAGCAATGTTTCACATGTGGCTAAACTTGGAAACATCGGGAAAACATGCGCGCACTCAACATATGTTTCTGGAAACATGTTTCCTCGTTTAGTCAGGGCATAATTTTACATAAAAGAAACCATTTCAATGCAAAGCATTTGACCCGYTTTGATATTCTTAGACTAGATGTATATAACGTGACAGTCACACCAGCCATTGGCTCCCCTACCAAGATACTTGTCACCCAACGAGATMTCCTCAAGCAAACGAGCTGGAATTTGAACAAGGTTTGTAAAAATAGAAAACATGTTATAGTACTAAAATACTGGCGTCAGGCTATTGTCCAAATAGGTACATGTAMTTTGCATGCCATACGCATGCGTAATGTTTTAACAAAAGAAAAAAAAGACTCCCACATGGAGGAAACGAACAACGCCAAACAAGTACTCGAGAGGAGTAGGTAATTATTCGCTGTTCATAGCAAGGGGTCAATCATCTACGGTCTAGGGGCCGACTAACCTCTCCCTTAGGCTTCGGCTGAGCTTCCTGATCAGTCATTGGATAGCGGTGTCAGGGCTGAAATCTCTGGCATAGCCGTAAATGCTTCGCGCTGCCATACTGCGCTTCGGCACTCGATGTCTGGAGGTATGGTCCCAAATAAAAATKTCAAAAAAAGTAATTCTATTTAAAGATAATAGTTTAGAGTGAATTCGTGTATCGAAATTTTAGTTGTTTATGAGTTCTGCTCATTCTACTGAACTATGTGTAGCGGGCTAAACAAGAATATTGCGGAAATCATCTTAAAAATACATCGATTCACTCGATAAGTACTAATGGAAAACTGGCAGAACTGATAAGCATAAAGGAAAAAACATAAGGGAAAAACGTAAGGTAGAGATTTTATTCACATTACGCAAAGCCAGTACAAAGGCTTAGTTATCCTTGCAGGATTCTACAGAATTTTGCTAGCAGGTATCTCTACTGTGTTGTTCGTAAATTATTACTAAGCTGTTCTCAAATGATTTATTCACAAATCTCATTAGAATATGAGCAGACCTCAATTAGCATGTAAAGCTGCGTTATGCGAATGATTCACTCTGGTAAAGACTTTCGCTAAGCATTTTTTAACTGGAACAAAATTTAATTTATTTGGCAACCAAGTTCATGTACAATTAAAGTGGCTGGACCCTCTCACGCTCGACCGCTACCTTCCACGTTTGGAACGCTGGKGCATAAACGTGTTTTATCCGATTTACTCCCGAAGTATGGTAATAAATTTTTTTATTCGAACGTGGGACGTTTATCATGATGTACTTTGTCAGTGTGAGTGAATAGAATCGGCGAACATGCCTCAAATAAAAACTTCAAGAAAGAAGCGAGCCAGACTTTTGAGTTTAAATATAGAACCATACTTCGGGAGTTAATCGGAAAGCAGCCAAGCAAGATGAGACCGTGTATGCTGCGAAATAATTTGATGTTATGATCATTAGCAAACAATAGAATTCCCAGAGCATCAAATCGTTGGGAAACGATCAATGTTTTCTGTAT